TCAGACTACGGTACATTGTATTATTATGATCTACCGCGATTAAACTCGGTGTGATTTTCAATTCACCATTTTTTTTTTTTTATTTTCGGGAGTTTTCCCAATTTCAATGAAAACTATTTAGAAAATTAAAAATATCCGAAATGCTACAAAAAACCCTCTCTTGTCATTTTTTGACCGGAGCGCAAGATTTCTGCTAGAAAAGTCGTTAACGAAATAAAAAAACGTGCACCACACATCACAGTAACACCAATACATTCTACTTCGCTCCGAGTAGAATCTAAAAAAAAAAAAAAAAAATTAAACACATTATAGTAAAACCAAATGTTTCTCGTCGCGCACAGAAAACAACGCGTTGAATAAAATATTATTTTGAACTATATTGCCTTGCGCGGAAATACCATCGTTACGTATGCGCTTACAATATTTACAATATATTGTATAGTTTCATAGATAAAGGTATCCACATGACAAAAACACATTAAACAGTCGACGCGTAAATACGACGATACTTAGGTGTGTACGTATGGGTATTAAAGAGTCAACTTCCCGGTTTACGACCATCGAGAAGTGTAATTTCACAGGTAAAACCGTAATAAAAAATAAATAAACGATAACTAACTATACGACATTTACAATGCGTTACCGCGGTTAATAATTTGATTTTTGAACACTGTTAGTGCATCATTTATGGGTTTAAACTTTTGTTTCCATTGTTTTACGGTAAGCGTAAAATCGAAATGAACGGATTACGAAAATATAAGTGAACAAAATGTCAATTGTAAATAGGTCTTCGGACAGCATTCAAATATGTCAATGCGAAACGTACGGCATTTAAAAATTAGTTTATTGTTGATATGAAATAATACGAACGGGATTGTCATCTCTATTATTTTCTGCTTCGGTCATTGGTTTACATTTCACGGCGGCTCCGTGGTAACCGGTTATCTCGTTGTCCGGTTTGGTATAAGGGATATCAGAATCACGAAAGTTAAAACCAGAAACTGTTCGATTCGGAAAAGATATTTTACAAGAACGTAAATAACCGTCGAGAGTGATTTTTCTTGGGAACACATGGGTATGATAGTAGTAGTAGATTTTTTAGGAACGATAAAAATTAGGAAAACCCATTACGGAAACGACGGAAATCGGGAAATTCAAATACGCTTCTGATTTTGTGCCATGAGTTTCGATATCAAAGCTAAGTAGTTTGAGCGTGCCTCAGCGTTGGTGTATTTTCGGTGTATTGATTTTCAAGCGATACGTAATCGTTTTTAAATAACCGTGATAGTTCGCATACTCGTGTCTCGCTTGAATATCGAAAATGCATCGACGCTAATGCACGGATAATCCTCTTGCCTTTGAGTTCGGTAAAAGGTCAATTAGTTTTAATTGACGGCGCAGACATTGTGCCGTCGTACGAAAATTTGCCGTGTCCCGCGTCCGCAGACGGAGGCGGCAGAAGCCGGTGGCGCGGCGCACTCTTAATGAATTAACGAAAATACCTCGGCGTTTTCGAATGGCGTCCGTAGAGTCGTCAAATCTGAAAAAAAAAAAATCCGTCCGCCGACTGCAATTTCAATACGATAATAGTATTATAAATGTCGCGTTGTCGCCGGACGGTGACGCGCGGTTTCGTTTATAAATTAAATTTCGATATTATATTGGTTGGGCGGTGGGGCGGCGGGGAAATAAAAAAAAATAAAAAAATATGCGATTATTCGTCGGAATATTCGATTTTACGGACGCTATAATATCACGGACGGATTTTCGATTCCCGAGAATAATATTCCGGTCGGTATAATAGGTATATAACAATAATATTATTATTTTTTGTCACGAGACGACGACGACGGGGAAACACGACACCGGGCGTTAATAAAATGGGATACTGAACGTATGCCGGGGAAATCTTTCGTCGTCGTTCTCGCGAAACAATGACTCCGATAATAACGAAATAATAATAATAGGAGTTTTTCGCCCAAAGACATAGTATTATATTATTGTTCCGACGAAAACGCGACGTTGCTTCATTCGTAAAACGCCGTAGAATGTGTGTGTATATTTTGTTAATCCCCTGGGAACATAACGAAGGTTGTTGATGACTCGTTAAAAAACGCGTTCTATATGTGTACATATTATATACATACATATATATATTTTTTTTTGTAAACGGAAATTATCGTTTTTTTTTTTTTATCGAGTATTTTATTTATAATTGAAAATACAAAATCGAATGAGTTATTTGGGGGTCAGACAGAGAAAGACAGAGAGAGAGAGAGAGAGAGAGAGAGAGGGAGAGAAAGCATTTATAGCGAACTGTGTATAAATCCACTGATTCAGTTTGGCCACACGCTGCCGACGACGCGATGACACTGAACGGGTATGATAAAAGTCTGATGATATAATATTTTTACCGCGGTGAAAAAAAAAAAAACAAATTCATTTCGCCGATGAACACAAACGAATAATATTTCAATCGAAATGATATTTTTCACACGGCGTTGCGTATTATACATATAAATATTAAAAAAAAAAAAAAAAAAAAAAAATAGGTTGATTCGATCGGTGAACTGGAAACCGCAGCTGAATGACAAATTAATAATCTTTTTCAACACTATAAACGTACCGTAATTTTTGTATGGATGTTCTCTCGATAAAATTATTATTATTGACGTGCTCGTTGTTTCAATAATATCATGGCAATATCGATTGTCGTAATAAATTTAGCAGTTCGCGTTTCCCTGCCACGAAAAGCCTACGATATTACTAAAGTATAACATAGGTATACTATCGTAGAGGAAGAAATCGTATGCATACCGATTACAATTTCAAATCGCGGGACCTTAAAATAGCTTAAAATAGCAATTCAAAAACAAATGTATGACAATTTTTACGAGGGAGTGTATGCGTGTTGCACGACAACGCCCACCCGCACGCGACCGCCAAAGTGCTTTCGGACTCTTTCTGTCGGGACATTTTGAACCACACTGCATACTCTCCTGACTCGGAGCCTTCAGACTTTCACGTTACACTACCCTGACGGGGGTCTTTACATGGGTGGAAAACAATTTTCAGCCGACGAGCGGGAGAAACAAAAGGTCCTGAAATGAAAGAAGAAAAAAAAGAGAGTTCGTTTAGGAAGACATCAAAAAGCTTGTACCGTGACTTACTGTCAGTAAAATGAATACACGGAGAATATAACTGACATATATATCAACGAAACTGTATACATTTTTTTTAAACACAATTTTATTTTATAAACCGAATAATCGATTACTTTTACTTTCTGAACGTGTCTATCGTAATAATCTTTTTTTCGTTTGTTTCGAAAAAGGAACATCTACTGAATAATAATATGTTCCTTTATCATTTATCTTAATTCTTGGACATGTTCGCTTTTCTAAATAATCCATTCGAATACATACAAACAAACTCGTCTTTAAATAAATTTTCTGTACTAACAAATCTTAATAACTCGTGGTTCAATTAGTTTTAATTTATATATTTAAGAGGATTACACGAGATTTGTTAGTTGCTCGAAACACGCTTTAAACATACTTTTTCCGTCAACAGGTGAGAAACGACGTACTGAACGTATTTGATTTTGATTTTTAGTTATGTAACCATAAACAAATGTGTACGAAAATCGACGAAAATCGATCATATTCCAACTCATAATCATAGCATTTATTTTTTCAAAATACGAGTCCAATGCGTCTTAAAGACAATTCTTCCTTTTTCAAGTCGAACATATATGATCGAAATCGGTTCAATTTTTGAACCACGAGAGAGTTTTGCCTGTAAAATATGTTTCGAGCAAAAAAAAGTCGTGTTATTAACGAGCAAATTTCCGTTCCCGACATTGTGCAGATAGTTTTGAGTACTTAAGTGATTGACCTTTCATCAAAATTAAAGAACATAATCTGTCTAACTACGTCGGTTTTTTCTCGATTTTTCAATTTTCAATCGAGCTATAAGCATTTTTATATTCTGATATTTCACAAGCTCATATCATATAATATTGTTTAGAAATTAAATATCGGAAATGTACCCGCGTAGTTCGGCAAATAATATTCTTATCATCATGTTTGATGATGAGCCATTTCACTGCTGCGTTAAAACCAACAGCGCAAAGTTAAGTAATATTATATATTCGCAAAGTCATTATACATTTTTCCATTTCAGTGGGGAAAAAAAAAAAAAAATCATCATAATACTATAAGTGCTCAATTTTTCAATACAATAAATTCTCCAAAAATATAATTAAACGGACTATGTACAGGTATATGCTTGGGTATCTTTGTTAAATTTTAAACGTCACTATAATTTATTTTAAATAACGTAAACAATATAATACTGCAGTACAGCGAGCTATTGTTCGATAAGTTAAAAACTTATAAATAATTACAATAAAGGTTAATTAGATCGAAAGGACTACGCATAAAAAAATCATCCGCAAAGTGTTCGGCGTAGTGAAGTTTTTAGTTATTAATATCGACGCTGCGGCGGAATATTGAATATTCGATACTTTTATAAATTCCAACTCGAAAATATCCCACGCGTGAATTATTTAGAAGTTTTTAATTTTAAAATTTCAAACAACCGCGCGGATAGTTTCGTACATTAAAAATGTACCAATACCTAATAAAGTAATAACGGTGTATGATTAGGTTAAACAAGTTAAGCGTATTTTTTTTTTCTACGGAAGTGCATGTATATGGCAAATAATATTGACGAGTAAACCGTGGTTTGGCGCCCTCCACCCCTCAACAAGTGAAAGTAAAATTTAGTTTTTAATAAGATTAAATACAAATTGTATGTATTTTGTATTATGACTTTATTACATGATTATAAAATAATTATATTAAAATAATTTACTTATAAAATAGCCGCTTGGGATTAATAAAAAAAATTTAAAAAATTTAAATTTAATAATTATGACTGCTATAATTAATATTAAAAATATTAGAACTTCATTTTTCTAGCTTTTAATTCAGAAACTATTTGATTGCTTTTTCATAATTAACTTTTTGGACTAAATCATTTTCAATTGACAGAGTTTCTAACGACGAGATCCTATCATCTGTTATTGAGGAACGTAAATAAGTTTTTATTAATTTAAGTTTAGAGAAACTTTGTTCATCGAATGCTACTGTAACTGGGATCGTCAAAAGTGTTCTTAGACATAACCAAGTGTAAGGGAATATATCAACTAATTTCATATCGTATATAAACTGGAGTACTTGTCAATGGTAAACATAGGCCGAAAACAAAACAAACATTCGTTGTAAAATTCCAAAACGATCGATAGATTCTTTTGAGTTTAAAGCTAAAATTCTGGCTTGAACGCCATTTTTACGACCTTTGATACTCGCACGTTGTCGTAACCCTGACCACGATAGTTCATTATATCAAGTTCGTTTTTTTTTAGCGTTTTAAGCAACAACTCAGTAAAACTTTCTCCAGTAGATTCATTAACTTCACTAAAACCAATAAAATGCTCAGCTCCACAAATGTGATTGCAAAGAACATTTTTTCATCAAGAGTACGATCTAATATCACAAAAAAACCTTTTGCGTCCTGTACTGTTTGCTAAATGATTTCTAAAACTTTGGAGGTCATTAGATTTATAGGTTTAATTTAAATGAACTTATAAACGACGTGTATAATTGTGATAAGCAACGTATTATCATCTGCCACCCCGTAATGAATTTATTTATAAATGGGTAAATCATATTTCTAAATACGTAAATATTATCAAAAGATAATCGGTGAACCGAGTGAACCAGTCGTGAATTTTAAAGGCGCAAAAGAGGTGGTGTAGTTACATTTATTACTTTTAAATTAAAACCAACATGTGACTTCAATTAAAGCTATACATGTATTGGATAATATATATTTCAAATTGTGTAAATTATTGTTAATTTTTTTCGTTTATGCGCATCAAAAGATAAATTCAATTGAAATAATGTTCAGTATGGCGCCCTTTAAGTACTGGCGCCCTGGGCAGTCGCCCACGTTGCCCATAGCTTTCACCGGCCCTTATAATAAACCAATTGAAGAACTGAAAAAAAATTGACTGGATAATAGGAATTGAAATTTACAAAAGTATTGAATTGGTCCTATTATTAAAAGTATATGCACAATATTAAAACTAATAGTATTAAAAATTAAAATACTGACGATTTATTGATCGACTTACCTATCTTATTATCTCCGCCATAATTCAATTTATATAAAAGTGGACTATATCTACTGATTTTTTTGTAAAATTAACTCAACATGGGGTAATTTGTAAAATAATAATAGGCTGACGTTATTTTTTTCGGTTTTCTTACATTATTAAGAAAAGTAAGTGAAATAAAAAAAAATGGCTTTCCTTTTTCACTAACAAGAAAAAATGTTCTACTTAAAACCACTCTTGAAGTTGATACAAAGCGAAAAATATTTTACAGAAATGTATGACATAGGTAATATATATCATTATAGTATAATTAATTCGCATCACTCAGTGCTTAAAATACATTAAATAAACCATTTTTTACTGCGAATATCACGTTGATTTTAACTGATTTTATTCCCAAGATATATTATTACAACCGAAGTTAAATCATATAGTTCAAAAAAATAGAGCTTGAAACTTTTTTTAACTATGTATTAAAAGCTAAATGCGTTTATACAATTAATTAACTAAACTTTTTTTTTTTATACACATAATGCTTTATTATTGAAAATGTAGTATTGTGGGTTCAAGTTAAAATACCGAAGTCGAACGTAATGGGAAAAGTCATTTGATACGTATTTTATTGAGTGGCTTGGGCACATTTCAATCACCCGTCCTGAATTTTGTTCTCATTTCACCCCTGGTTTAGGATATGCGTTGATTCTCTGTCAGTCAGTCAAGACAATACCGTTTATACATATTATTATGACCATTGCGTAAAAAAAAAAATACTTTCACTTAAATAGAAATAAATAAAAGTTGAAATTTTCAAGTTGGCAATTTATGATACGTACGAATTGTACCTATATCTAGTTTTGGATACTATGTAGTTAATAACTCGTGTACTAAATCGGTCGTACAGTGTAAATAAAGTAATAAAGCGATTCGTTTAATATACTAATATCATATCAATTTATGTTTAAATACAGATACGTATAACTTTATGATTAAATAATTATAATGTCAAAATAAAAAAATAACGTGATTAAGAGTATAGACAAACAAAATCTAATCTAAATTAGGTTTATGAAATTAGAATACATATTTTTGTTCTGTCTGTAACCTACTTGAAAATATCTTGCTCGCTGATCATCAATAGGTGTAATGTCTTTTCTTGGATCAAATTTCGTCTAGTGCCCGGTGCATTGCATAGTTATTTTATTGATTTTTAATCATATTGAGGGTAGGGAAAATACAGGAAAATTAATTTAAGCAATAAATATTTCGGTTAATATTTCGAAGTAGCTGTGTAAGTTTCCTCACCACCTTAGTGTATGAAATATAGATACTTTTCAAGTACACGTAACATTACCATATAAGCATGAGGTATTACACTCGAATCCGAACGCAATCGCAATCATCAAAACAAATAAAATTTGTTAAACAAACCATAAGAAAAAAAAAAAAAGCTGATACGATGCCGCCACTTTTTTTGGCCGCACATTAAGTGATTTAATTTATACCTGTAAGCAATGATAAACTATTGCTAATGAAAAAAAATTCAGAACGAAGTTCGGTTGAACAATTTTTTAAGACCAATTATACCGTAATATGTAATAATAAAAGAAAAACACGACAGCAACGATTGTTCAAAAAAGATTAAAATAATAAACTTAATTATAAACTTATTTATTAACTATAAAATAAATAAAAACGTTTGTCAATGTCAATCTTATTTTTAATCTTTTAATGTTTTTTAACCTAAAGGACTTATTAACTCGAATTTCAAAAAAATGACCTTTTTAAAGTACCAACTAGAGCCGAAATGCAACGAGAAAAGGTCTTTTTTTATATTTTGATCGGAACGAGATTTCTAGGAGAATAGTTGTTCACTTATAGAAAAAAATTACACATTATAGTAAAACCAATAGACCCTCGCTTCACTCAGAATCTAAAAAAAAAAAATGTATTCAGCACGTAGTAATCACTTGCGGGGTACCTATATGTAACTGTTATTATACTTTACACTGAACCCTGCACAGTTTACGGGTTAATAGTTGAATTTATCTGTACGTTTTCCAGTCCAGCAAAACAATTACCTCCAACTTTCGCATTCCACCGCCGAGTCTCGCGTACCTATTCATCGTGTGCTTTAGTTTTTCCGATTTCGTCCCATCCACGCATCTTAATTTTGGGTAGGCCTGTAGTGATGTCTTCCCACGGTACTTTCTAGCACAGCTCTCAACAACGGTCCGTGTTCACGCTACACGTCGGTCTAACTATAGCCGAATATAGTCACAACAGGTATATAATAGTTATTTAAATATATTTTGTCTTTCTCGAGAATGTCAACCTACCTAAGTCGACGGATGTACCCATTCAACGGTCTAAACGGCATTAAAATTGAAATAATTAATTGTCGACGAATCGCCCCTCCCCCCCTTAATAGAAGTGTATTGAGTATTTATCCGCAGGGTATCTATATGCAATTTTGTAAACCGGGCTCCGGTTATCTTTCAAATTAAACAAATAAATAAATAATAAAAACAAAAGTTGAATTTATCCACAGTACGTATACGATAGCCAGATATGTCTTTCTCGAGCATATGCGAATCCGGTCGGCTCGATATCGGTTCGTCCGAACGGCGTGATAATTGGTCCATTGGAAAATCCGTATTGCATATTAACGATCACGGACGCACACGAGTCTACAAACGGCGAACTAAGTCCAGAAAATATGAAAAAAAAAAATAGCATTTTAACGACTCTCCTCGAAGCGAAATATTTTTAAACGTATCGACGATTGACGGCGAAATACATTATCTATCAATGCTAACCAAAAAACGAATTTCGATAAACGTTAATTGAACATTGTATTGATTTGTAACTGTAATAAATTACAATTGTCCGAAATCAAAAACTAAAAACGCGGGTCTGTTATCATTAACTGTTACGTATTTGTTGATTTTAGGCTTGAGTTATCGAAAATTATTTTGGAAATTTCAAATAGTTTATGTTTTTGAAATCGATCAACAGTACCCACTATGAACGAAATAAATTTTAAAATTTCGCAATACGTCGTTCATAATAAACTTAATATTATACGCGTTGTAATTTAATAAGTAAATATTTTAGATAACGGAACGCCTCGCCAACCTCGTCTGACTAGCTGTCACTACAGTGGGATACCCTTGGACCGTACGACCGTCTACAGTACACCTAACCCGCCACGCGGCGTCGGATTTAAATGCCGGATCGAAACAACTACTTTAAAAGCTAAACGTAGCTTGTAGCTCGGCTGAAATAAAGTTTTCGTTTCGATATTAAATATCAAATCAAAGCGAAAAAACGGTAGGGATATACCTTCTGCACTTACCCCGCGCCATTGATTGTATGCGTTCCTACACAGTATACTGCATGTTATATTATTTTACTCGATCTTGATGATGGATTCTTATTAAATAATAAAAAAAAAAATCCATTGCTCCGATATCTTTTCTTCTATATTGGATAGGTAACTATCATAACACTGTACAACGGGGAAACCGTAAAAAAGTACAATATTTTAGAATGCATTGTACATAATCGATATTCTATTATAATAACGATGACATCGTGACAAGTCGGAGGACGCGTGTTAATGATTCTTTATTGGAAACTAAACGAAAAAAACCGTGTATAAAAAAAAAAAAAAAATTACAAACTAAAAACTGACGTTTTTATTAACATTGAGTAAAATATTAATCCCCAAAAGCCTTGTGTAGTACGCAGTCGTCTCTTCTGTCGGTACACATTTTTCACGCGGAAACGATTTGTCACGAAAAAAAAAAAAATATATAATAATAATAATAAAAAAAGCAATGCGCTTCGCTGCAACGCAACGGCTATAGTGGCGGCGGCGGTGGCGGCGGTATCTGTTGTATACCTACTTACTCTATATAGTTGCAGGAAGTATTAAAAAAAAAAAAAACCAAGTGTAATAAGACGAGAACAAAATAAAAAAAAAAAAAAAAACACAAAAAAATCGTATAAATATAATTGCTATTCGGGTAAACGAAT